TTTTTTTTTTTTTTTTAAATATATCTTTGTTGATTTTAGAGAGGGGAAGGGAGAGGGAGAGAGAGAGAAAGAAACATCAATAATGAGAGTCATTGATTGGCTGCCTCCTGCACGCCCCCTGCTGGAGATCAAGCCCACAACCCAGGCATGTGCGCTGACTGGGAGTCGAACCCCAATCGCCTGGATCCTAGGTTGACGCTCAACCGCTGAGCCATGCACGGAAAGGCTGGAAAAATACTTTAAAAAAAAACACACAGAAAAAAGGGTAGGGGAAATAGCCTACAACATCTTACTTCAATTATGTACTCCAACATTTTGGTATATTTCTTTTGTTTTATTTAAACTGTGGTTGACCTCATACTGTGCATATACTTTTATACCCTGTACTTTTTGATTACTATATAATGGTAATTTTTCCTCAGGCACAGAAAACACTTTGTGAAATATAATTTATAACAGCTGCATAATGAACCATGTGGATATATCAGAGAAGGATTTTTGACAATACAAATCAAAGTATTACAACTGAGCAGGTGGCTCAGTTGGAGCATCATCCCGTACACAAAAATTGAGGGTTTGATTCCCAGACAGGGCACACATCTAGTTTGTGGGTTCAATGGGGGACATTTGGGAGGCAACCAATCAATGTCTCTCTCTCACATTGATGTTTTTCTCTCTCTCTCTCCCCCCCTCTCTAAAATCAATAAACATATCCTCAAATGAGGGTAAAAAATAATAATAAATAAAGTATTACAATCTTCTATAGGACTTTACATTTTCTAAAACCTGTTCACTTTAATCGTTACCCTTAGGAGAGGAACATATTCTCTTTCCTTATGAGATAAACAGATAAGGCTTATTACAGTAACTCCTCAAAGTCGTTGATAGTTTCTACGACTTTTTAAGAAAACACAGTATAAGGAAACCAAATGATACAAACAAGAGTGAAGTTCTTATGACATCTCATCATTATAATGACATTGAACAAAATGTTATTTGAGGACTTTCTGTATTTGCCTCATTTTATAGAAAAGTACAATTTTTAGAAACAGATCAGTCCTAGGTAACACAGTAACAGTGTGTTCTGGTCAGAAATTCAAGTGTTCTGATTATCTGATTTAAAGAACACACATTCAACTGTAAAGCAGCCCCTTTCCCAACCTTCAGAGGACAAAGGAGTATTGTAGTAGTAAGGACAACACACTCAAAAAATTGTATCCTGCTTCCACTATCATTTGCCTGGCCACTTCTCTCGGAAGGCCTAATCTACTATTCTTAGTAACAGGTAAAAGAGATATTTCATTTCCGGGGAGCAATGTTTTGTTATAATACCTTCAGATTATGTATGATATCTATCCGCTTGTTCTGGCTGTCCTTAAAGTGAACTTGAACTCTGACAGGAAACTCACCCCAGCCCCTTCTGGTCAGGTGAAAAGGAGGCTCTCTATGGAAAAGCAGACATTAACACATTAATTCATGTGTACTCATTCCAGAGGAAAAGTTTTCTCATAATGGATGTTAGAAATTCATATCCTTCTGGTAGTCATTTACATTTCCTCATTTGAAGCTAAATCAGTCTGCTACATTATGCTAAATTATGAAAAAAAAATTTAACTCAAACCTATATTAAATTTTCAATTACTGGATACTTAGAGGTAAGACACTTATACCACATAATCCAATGTCATTATTTTCACAAAGATCTAAAGTGATGTGATGGATGTCACCATATGAATCAGAATCTTGACTGCTACTTGACAGACATACGGTGAAGTATATATTCCTCACCCCAGATGCTCATAGTTATTCCTCCACTCTGGCAAAAACAAAATAAATCATGAATACTCTATTTGAAAGTGGCAATTTATTTGAAGGTACCTGGTAAGAGGACTTAAAAGATCATATGTTCACAATATGATCTTCCCCAAATAGTTACTATGATTTAAGAGGATAGAGAGGAACTTGTGTGAATGCTAATTGGACTGAAGAATTTTCAGTCAAAACCTAATTTGTAAAGGCAAGAAAAGGGAAAATTGATGGAAGAAAAAAAAAAAGACTGGCAAACTGTTAATAATTGGTGTTGGGTACATGAGGATTCAATATACTCTGTTAGCTTAAAAAAACAAAAAGGAAAGAAATTCAAGGGAGTGTTTTCAAGTTAAATCACTTTTCTTCCACGTCAATAAATCTGCACTTCTTAGGTTAAATAACTCACACTCAAGTATGCTCACCTAACTTCTACAAGGTCATTTGGTTTATAGCTGGGATGAAGGAAGAACCAAACTTTCTTGACAAAGTGATTAATGCTGGGTTCTCTACGAGACCCTCGGACATACACCATCCACTTGTGGGTTGATTGGTCATTTTCTTCTCTCTTATCAGGAGGTATATACCTAGAGGAGAAGAAAAAGAAACTGAATTATTTTTTTCCTTTCAAAGTCTAACAAAACAATTAACACCTACTTAAAACAAGATTAAAAATAAATTACAAAAAGAAAACTGGAAAATTCACAAGTATGTGGAGATTAAACAATATGCTACTGAACCACCACTGGGACAAAGAGGAAATCTAAAGAGAAATAAAAATATCTTGAGACACCTGAAAATGGAAATACAACACACCAAAACTTAAGGGATGCAGCAAAAGCAGTTCTAAGAAGGAAGTTTATACTGATAAAAGCCTACATTAAGAAAAACGAAAGATCTCAAACAACCTAACTTTACACCCTAAGGAGCTAGAAAAAGTAAAACAAACTAAGCCCAAAGTTAGTAAAAGGAAGGAAATAACAAAGATCAGAGGAGACAAAAATGACAATAAAAAAAGAATGAAAAAATGCTCAACATCACTGGAGAGATGCAAATTAAAACCACAATGAGATATCACCTCACACTTGTAAGAATGGCTACCATCAACGAATCAACAAACAAGTACTGGCGAGGGTGTGGAGAAAAGAGAACTGTTAGTGCACTGTTAGTGGGAATGCAGACTGGTTCAGCCACTATGAAAAACAGTATGAAGTTTCCTCAAAAAATTGAAAATGAAACTGCCTTTTGACCCAGTGATCCCATTCCTGGGAATATATCCCAAGAGCCCTGAAACACTAATTTGAAAGAATATATGTATGCCTATGTTCATAGCAGCATTATTAACAACAGCCAAGATCTTGAAACAGCTCAAGTGCGCATCAGTAAATGGGTAGATAAAAAAGCTGTGATACATGTACACAATGAAATACTATGCAGCCATAAAAAAGGAAATCTTACCTTTTGTGACAGCATGGATGGACCTGGGAATTACGCTAAGAAAATAAGCCAGTCAGAGAAAGACAAATACCACATGACCTCACTTACATGTGGAATCTAATGAACAAAATAAACTGACGAACAAAACAGAAGTAGAGGCATAGATACATGGAACAGACTGACAGCTGTCAGAAGGGAGGGGGAAGGGGAACACTGGATGAAAGAAGGTGAAGGGATTAGCCAAAGAACATATATGCATAAGTCATAGACACAGACAACAGTGTGGTGATGGCCAGAGGGAAGGAGGGGGGCTAGGTGGAAGTGGGCAAAGGGGCGGGGGAGGGGAAGATGAGGACTTTTATAATAATGTCAACGATAAAAATAAAGTAAAAAAGAAAGAAAAAATTAGGAGCTGTTTTTTGGAAAAGATAAACAAAATAGAAAAACCTTTAGCTACACTTACCAAGAAAAAAAGAAGACTCAAATAAATAAAATTACAAGTGAAACAGGAGATGTTGCAACTGATACCACATGAACGCAACGAATCATAAGAGATTATGAACAATTATATGCCAAAAAATTGGACAACCTAGAAGAAATGGATAAATTCCTAGAAACATACATCCTAGCAAGACTGAATCATGAAGAAATAGAAAATCGAAACAGAACAATTACTAACTAGTAAGGAGAATAAATCAGTAATCAAAAACGTCCCAACAAAGAAAATTCTAGGACCAGATGACTTAAAGGGGAAATTCTACCAAACACTTAAGGAAGAATTGATGCCAATACTTCTCAAACTCCTCCAAAAAACAGATTAGGAGAGAACGCTTAGAAACTCATTTTACAAAGCAACCAAAGCAAAACAAGCAAACTACAAGAAAAGAAAATTATAGGCCAATATCCCTAACAAACATAGATCCAAAAATCCTCAACAAAATATTAGCAAACAAGATGCAACAGTACATTAAGAGGATCATACACTATGATCAAATGGGATTTACTCCAGGCGTGCAAGGAAGGTTGACAGCCGTGGATCAATCGATGTGACACACCACACTCCTGAGATGAAGGATAAACCCCACGGTCATCTTAATAGGTGCCGAAAAGGCACATGATAAAACTCAACATCTATTCATGATAAAAACTCTCAGTGAACTGGCTGTAGAGAGAGCATCCCTCAATATAATGAAGGCCATATACAACAAGTCCACAGCTAATATATTCAATAGTGAAAACTAAAAGCTTTTCTCTAACATGAAGAACATGATACGGATGCCCACTTTCACCACTTTATTCAACATAGTACTGGAAGTCCTAGGAGAGCAATTAGGCAAGGAAAAGAAATAAAGGCAGATGAGAAAGGAAGAAGTAAAACTGTCTCCATTTGCATAAAACATGGTATTACATATAGAAAACCCTAAAGGCTCCCCCTCAAACTGTTAGAATTCATAAACAAATTCAGTAAAGTTACAGCACATAAAATCAACATAAAAAAATCAATTGTTTCTATACACTAACAATAATCTGTCAGAATGAGAAACTGAGATAATTATATTCACAATAGCATCAAAAACAAAATACTTAGCAATAAATTTTAACCAAGGAGGTGAAAGACCTGTACACTGAAAACTGTAACACTGATGAAAGAAGCCAAAGAAGATACAAATAAATGGAAGGATATTCTGTGTTCATGAACTGGAAGAATTAATATTGTTAAAATGTCCATGCTACTTAAAGAGATCTACATATTCAATGCAATCCCTATCAAAATTCCAAGGGTATTTTTCACAGAAATAGAAAAAACAATCCCAAAATCTCTACAGAAAGAACAAAGCTGGAAACATCCCACCAACTGATTTCAAACTATATTACAAAGCTATAGTAATCAAAACAGTATGGTACTGGCATAAAAGACGCATAATCAATGGAACAGAATAGAGCCCAGAAATAAACCCATGCATATATGGTCAATTAATTTATGAAAAAGGAGCTAAGATATATAATGGGGAAAGGATAGTCTCAAAAAATGGTCTTGGAAAACTGGACAGCCATATGCAAAAGAATGAAACCCTATCTACACCATATACAAAAATCAAGTAAAAACAGATTAATGTCTTAAATTTATTACCTAAAACAAAAAACTCCTAAAAGAAAACATAGGGAGGAAGTGCCTTGACATTGGTCAGGGAAATGACTTTTTGGAATTAACACCAAAAGCCAAGGAAATAAAAGCAATAATGATTTTTAATTTGGGGGACTTCATCAAAGTAGAAAGCTTCTGCACAGGAAAGGAAATCAACAAAATACAAAAGCAACTTACAAACTAGGAAAAAATATTTGCAAATCATATATTTAATAAGGGGTAAATATTCAAGATAAGTAAAGGTCTCACAAAATCAGATTTAAACATGGGGGAACTGAATAGACATATTTCCAAAGAATTTACAAATGGTCAACAGGTGGTCAACATGAAAAGGTGGTCAACATCACCAAATGCAAATCGAAACCACAATGTGTTATCACCTCACACCTGTTAGAATGGCTACCATAAAAAAATACAAGAAATCACCTGAAACTAAACAAAATAATATTTAATGTAAACAGTAATTGAAAAATAAAATTTTTAAAAAATACAAGAAATAACAAGTGTTGATGAGAACATAGAGAAAGGGGAACCCTTGTACACTATTGGTGGGAATATAAATTGGTATAGCCATTATGGAAAACAGTATGGAGGTTCCTCAAAAAATTAAAAATAGAGAACTACCCCATTTTTGTGTGTACACACACACACACACACACACACACACACAGACAATAAAAACAGGATATTGAAGAGATCTCTACAGTCCCATGTTCACTGCAGCATTATTTACAATAGCCAAGACAAGGAAACTTAAGTGTCCATCCACAGACGAATAAATAAAAGATGTATATTATACACACACACACACACATACATACAACATATAATGGAATATTAGTCAGGAAAGGAAGTCCTGTGTTTGTGACAACATGGATGGACCTTGAGAGCATTATGCTAAATGAAATAAGCCAGAAAGAGAAAAACAAATAGTGCATGGTATCACTTACACGTGGAATCTAAAAAAGAGTCAGACTCATAGAGTAGAAAAAAGGTTGCCAGGGCTGAGGGTTAGGGGTTGGGGAAAATACAGAAAGGCTGGTAAGAGGGTACTAACTTTCAGTTGTAACATAAGAGCTAATGTATAACATGGTGAACATAGTTGATAACATTGTATTATATAATTGAAATTCGCTAAGAGACAAGAACTCAAATGTTCACACACACACACACACACAAAAATGATCGATATGTGAGGTGATGATAGGTGTGTGAATTAACTTGATAAGAGGAACACTTTCAAAATGTATACATATATCAAATGATCACAATGTACACTTTAAATAATACTTCTGTCAATTACATCTTAATAAAGCTGAAAATTTAATTATAAAAATTTAAATTGCAGCAAAATTTAAGAGCTATATCACCTAACCAAAGTCTTTGCAGTTAATCTTTTTCTTTCTTTTTTTTTTTTTGCTCTAAAATTTGTTTTGCTTTCTGATTATCAGTATGCAATTTTTTAAAAAATCAATCTTGCTTTTCCTACCAAGTGGGTACATGGTGTAGAAGTAAACGGGTATGTTTTATTCTTGGGTTAGGGAACCTCTAGATTTTGGGTTGATTTCATACAGGTTTCAGGGTGCTAGAATTTTGACTCTCCTGGTTCTTATTCATTGCCACCAAGAATGTTGCAACTGGTTTGGCCTTTTAAAGCCAAAACAAGCCATTCCCTTAAGCTCTGCCCATGGTAAAACTAGTATCTTTAGCCTTCCATTTTGTAGTTCTGTTTTTATTTCATGAGGCCCCTTTATTACATGCTATTGGAAAATATGGTCATGGCCTTCTATACGGTCATCTGTGATACAGTTATCCTTAGTGATGCAGTGGGCCGCGTTGTCTAACCCCGTTCTTCAGGAGTCTTCTTGTCCAGTCTTGACTCTTTGCTCTTCCAAATACAAAAACTAGCCTGTGAATTTCATAAACCCTGTCGGGATTTTAATCAGAATATCTACATATCAATTTGAAGAGAAGTTGTATCTTTATAATATTGAGCCTTCCTATCCATGAACATATTATATTCTAGTTAGTTTTTTCATGTCTTTTAATAAAGTTTTTATAATTCTTCATGAAAGGCCAGCATGTTTTATTTATTGTATTTTTATTACTATAGCAATTATATCTTTTAAAATCATGTTTCTAATTTTGTGGCTGTCATACAGAAGCATTTCACTTCTGTGTTTGATATTATATTCAACAACCTTGCTAAGTTCTCTCATTAACACTAAAACTTTATCAAAAATTGTTTTAGATTTTTCTATATAGACAGCATCATCTGTTAATGACATTTTGTTTCTTATTTTCTAATCCATATACTTTTAATTTTTTAAATCTGACTATATTAGTTAGTATCTTCAAGAGCAATGTTGAATAGGTGTAGTGACACCAGGCATCTCTTGTCTTGTTTGTAATCCTGAAGGGAAGACTTTTAAGTTTACCACCGAGTATAACATATGCTGCAGGTGTTTTTTTCTTAATATACCTTTATTGATTTGAGAAAGGAAAAGAGAGGGAGAGAGAGTTGAAATATCAATGATGAGAGAGTGGTCATTGATCGGCTGCCTCCTACATGCACCCTACTGGGATCGAGCCCACAACTCGGGCATGTGCCCTGACCGGGAATTGAACCGCAATCTCCTGGATCCTAGGTTGATGTTCAACCACTGAGCCACGCTGCCTGGCTCCCCGAAAGATTTTGTATACAACTAGAATTATCTGTTCACTCAACCTGTAAAGCAATCTAAGCCAAATGGTTTGGTTTGGTTTTGTCAGAGGAATGTTTTAAAAATCAATAATTAAATTTACTTAGTAGTTGTAAGACTATTCGAAGCTTTCCTTTATCAAGTCACTTTAAGTTGTATTTTTCTAGGAATTCTCCATTTCATCTAAATTTTCAAATGCACTGGCATAAATATGTACATAATTTCTTATCTCTTTAATAGTGCAGCATCTACGTGTAGTTACATCTTTTTTCATTTCTAATATTTATTTGTGTCTTTTTCCTTACTTAATTTCTCCAGGTTTACGTATGCTGTTTATTTTTCCCCCTAATTTCTTTGTTTCCCCCACTGCATTATTTTGTCTAAGATGCTTAATTCATTAATTTTAAGCTTTTCTTCTACTATAGTCACTGTCTTTAAGACTACAAACTTCCCTTTAACTATCCCTTTAGTGTTATCTCCAACTTTTGATTATTTAGTTCTGATTATTTTAATGTGATTTTTCATTGACTTATGAGTTGTTGGAAGTGTTTTGAATTTCCAGATATATAGAGATTTTCTAGTTATGCTATTGTCGTTGATTTTTTTCTTACTATATCTTTATTGATTTCAGAGAGAAGAAGGGAGAGAGTTGAATCATCAATGATGAGAGAGTTGTCATTGATGGGCTGCCTCCTGCATGCCGACTGGGGAACGAGCCTGGAACCCAGGCATGTGCCCTGACTGAGAATTGAACGGCGATCTCCTGGATCCTAGGTCAACGCTCAACCACTGAGCCATGCCCGGCCAGGCTTGTCATTGATATTTAACTTTACTGCGCTAGTGTCAGAAAAAATATTCTGTATGATACAAGTCCTCTGTTGAAGCTTGCTTTATGGCTTACTACATAGACCATTTTCATAAATGTTCCTTGTAAGCTTAAAAAAAATATTTCTCTTTTCATTGTTTTATGTAATGTTCTATATTTGTATACTTTAGATCAAGCTTTGTTAAGTGATATTCCAATTTTTTATATTCATATAGGTAGTTTGCTTGATCTATCAATTACTGAGCGATGTATATTATGTCTCAGTATGGTAGTGCACTTCACAATTTCTGCTTGTGGTTCTATCAATTTTAAGACTATGTTATCATTTTAAGACTGTTATCAAGTGCATAGAAACTTAGAATTTTTTTATCTTCTTGGTGAACAGAATCTTTTATCATTATATAATAACTGTCTTTACCTCTAGGAATGTTTTTGTTCTTAAAGTCTATTTTGCCTGATATTAATAGCTACACTGGTTTTCTTTTGGTTATTATATGCTGGCTACAACTTGTTTATCTGCTTACTTTCTTTTCTTCTTTTTGTTTTTTCAGACTTTTTATAAGAGTCTATTTGAGCCTGGCTAGGCGTGACTCAGCAGTTGAGCGTCGACCCAGGATCCAGGCGATCGGGGTTCGATTCCTGGTCAGGGCACATGCCCCGGTTGCAGGTTCAATCCCCAGTCGAGGGCGTGCAGGAGGCAGCTGATCAACGACTCTCTCATCATTGATGTTGCTATCTCTCTATCCCTCTCCTTTCCTCTCTCTGAAATCAATAAAGATATATTTTTTTTAAAAAAAAAAGTTTATTTGAGCCAAACGGAAGGCATATGCTGAGAATAAGATCCTATTTCCTTACTCTCAATCTTTCTGCATTTTGATGTTATTGATAAATAACAGAGACCTAAATTTTAAGTTATTTTATAACCTAAAAATATAACAATTACTATATTTAAACTAGTTAAATTCATATGCATTTTTATGACTGTTGATATATTTAGATTTGTTGTTACTAAATTATTTTATACTATTTGTCTTGATTTTTTCTCTTCTTCATATCCCTCCTCCTGTCCCTGCTTGCCTTTTTCTAGAATCAGGTTTTTTCCTTTTTTTCATTCAATTTCCACCCCTCCCCTTATGACTTTTAAAGTTTAAATCTCTGTATCTATTATTTTAGCTATTATCTTAGATATTCCAGCAAGCACTCTTAACAAAGGCTAAAGTAGATCCTTTACCCGCTTCCAGAACAAAAGATTTACAATTTTTGTGCCAATCATTCCCTTCTACTTAAAATTTATGATTAGCAGTATTTTAGTTCTAGCTTGCCTTTAAAAAACCTCAAAACCTATAAATTAGACATAATTGTTTGAAAATGTCAATGACTATTTCTCCCCAATCTTCTTGTGGCCTGGTGGGTCTATCTAGATTTCTATTTTGGCGCTTTTCTGGGCTGATCTGCCCTGTACTATAGTTAAGACCCCAACTCTAATGCTTCACATGAACTATTTAGCCTCCTTAGCTGAATACATGCTAACTCTAAAATAATCTATAAAACCCGAAATCTAATTGCCTTAATCATATTTTATGCTTCTATTTAAATACTATTACATAGACCATTAAAAATCTTTGTTTTTAGTATCCTGAGATTTTTTTTTTTTTTTTAAATATATCTTTATTGATTTCAGAGAGAGGAAAGGAGAGGGATAGAGAGATAGAAACATCAATGATGAGAGAGTCATTGATCGGCTGCAGCCTGCAACCCGGGCATGTATCCTGACCGGAATTTGAACCCTGATCGCCTGGATACTAGGTCGACGCTCAACCGCTGAGCCACGCCCGGCCGGGCTATCCTGAGATTTTTAATGTATACTTGTTTGTTATTAATGGTCCATTAACTGGGGCTTGGAAGATTTCTGCCCCCAGATAATTTTTATAATTCCAAATCCTTTAATAACTGAACGTAATTACAATTTCCATAAATATATTAATTTATTCATCATGCAAATATTTACTGAATACTGTAAGGTACAAACAAGTAAGACATAGTTCCTATCCAAAAGAGATTCCAGTCTGATTTGGGGAAAATGTACAAAAATAGGAAATGATTACATGAAAAAAAAGACAAGAGAAAAACGAAGAAAATATACTGAATGAGGTTGGAAAAGGGCAAATAAGATTTTGTGAAGAAATAACATTCTTCACTATTTAAAGATTTATGTCTTTATCCATTCCTACATGGCAAAAATGTTAACAATCCTACAATACAGCATGAGATTATAATGTCAAAGAGACAGCCCTTTAACTTGGAGGAATTCTGTTTTCAAGACCTGCTTTGCAACCTCCTGCTACAAGTTAAAAACATTTCCATTTGGGAAACCAAAAATAAAGATTTTTAGTAACTACCTAAGGCCCCTAAGATTAAAACTAGGTGAGGCCCGGCCAGCATGGCTCAACTGTTGAGCATTGATCTAGGATCCAGGAGATCGAGGTTCGATTCCCAGTCAGGGCACATGCCCTGGCTGCAGGCTCGATCCCCAGGCAGGGGCTGCAGGAGGCAAGCCGATCAATGACTCTCTCATCATTGATGTTTCTGTCTCTCTCTCTCCCTCTCCTTTCCTCTCTCTGAAATCAATAAAGATATATTTCAAAAAAAAACAACACACACAAAAAAACACACAACTAGGTGAGAAGTCAAAAGTTCCTCCAAACTTATCCACACTTCCATGCTTGATAAAATACACCATTTCTGTAAAATCTCACGACTTACGAAATTTTTACCAAGCACAAGTTTACCCTATGTGAAAGATTAGCAGACACACTAAGGCAGTGTCTCAAGTCTCTGGATCTTACTTTACTTTTGAAACAACTAAGAGCTTGGAAAAAAGAATTCCTGAGCCCTCTATCTTCTGTAACACCACAATAAGAGTATGCCAGAGTTCTAGTAACATAAACAGATGACTGAAAATGAGACAATTCAACTGGATACTCACTTGGACACATTGCCCACTACTATTGTTTTCTTTACAAAAAGTCGTGAAGTCTCATCTCCTGTGAGATCAGCATTCCGCTGCTCTGTTTTATGGGAGCCAGTAATACTAGAAGTGTCCTGAAAGAAATTGTAATTTTCATTTTCAATTTGGACAATTTTCAATAGGCAGAAACTGTAAAATCATACAAGGTATGAATGAAATAACTCAAAATTACTTTAATTACAAAGTTCTCTGGCTTTATGGTACCTCAGAGCATTAAAGAACAATTTTACTCTGATTTTTGCATTAGTTGAGACAAAAAGTTTGCATACTATAATTCCACATCTGTGTGTTTAATAGGCATACACATTTGCTTTGTATATGCAAACTGGATGTGGAAGGATACATAAGAAACTATTACAATGGTTACCTCTGGAAAATGGGAATGGGGAAAGAGCTCAATGGGATTTACTTTCTTTTCAACCTTCTATATTACCAAAACATTTCAATGAGAAGTAATTTAAACACAATGGTTCAAGTTTGACTATGGAGACAGACTGTCAGGGTTTAAAATCCCGGTTCTTCCATTTAGCAGATGTGTAAGTTTGGGTAATTATTTCACTTCTCTCTCAATTTCCTAACCTATAAAATAAGGATAATAGTTTTTACCTCACATGATTATTTTGTACAGTTCTTAGAAAAGTGCCTGAAACACAGTAAGTACTAAATATTCGTAAGGACGTAAACATGAATACGTATATTACATAAAAGATGATAAATTTCTAAATCCAATTACTAATACAACCTAAATTCTTTTTAATTATAAAAACATATACAGTTATTTTCCCAGAAATAATACTGAAGAAGACAAGTAAATCCAAACATTAAAGATTTCTGATTTTTGAGTGGTGGCATTATGAATGATTTTTCTATTCTTTTTTATTTTTCTGTAATTTAAATTTTTCAGCAACGAACACATGAATTTATAATCAGAACATTTTTTAAATTTCATTTTTATAAAAAATAAATCAAATCCTTGATGTTTCAGTATGTGGAAAGCAACCTTGAAATGTCCTCTATCACAGAACACCTAGCTGGAAAAGCTACTGGTCTCAATTCTTTTTTTTTTTTTTTTTAATCCTCACCCGACGATATTTTTTCCATTGCTTTTCAGAGACACTGGAAGGGAAAGGGAGAGAAAGAGAGAGAGAAAGAAACACTGATGTGACAGAGACATACAGATTGGTTGTCTCCCACACGTGCCCTAACCAGGGCTGGGGACAGAGCCTGCAACTGAGGTACATGCCCTTGGCTGGAATTGAACCCAGGACCCTTTAGTCTGAGGGCCAGTGCTCTAACTGAGCCAAACCAGCTAGAGAGATTGGTCTAATTTCTAAAGCCAAATATTGCCCTGGCTGATGTGGCTCAGATGGTTGGGCATAGTATTCTGTGCACCAAAAGGCTGCCAGTTCGATTCCCAGTCGGGGCACATGCCCGGTTTGCAGGCTCGATCCCCAATAGGAGGCGTGCAGGAGGCAGCTGATCAATGTTTCACTGTCACATCAATGTTTTTTCTCTCTCTCTCCCTTCCTCTCTCTTTAAAAAACACAAAAACCAATTATTAAAATAAATAAATAAAGCTAAATATTATACCAAGAAGTTCAGAGCAGCTTGAGATGGCAACTCCACGAACTGGCAGGATCAAAGAGCAATAAATGGTTTTCACTTCTACTTATCATTTGTCAAATTTTCTCATTATCAAAGCATTTAGTTTCAGAGGAAAATGCTTAAGAATCACTGTTCTTGAGAATAAACAAGACATAATAGAAAGATGTTTGGCAAGAATACAGCTTTGCCAAATTCTCAAGGTTTCTTTCATATGTACGTGAATGGCACTAGGCATTGTGCCATACACAGGAGCACTGAATTTTAAAATCAGAAAGACTTAGGTTTAGCTCTCAGTTCTGATACTTATGGACAAATATAACTTTAATCTCATTGAGACTCAGTTTCCCCATCTCTAAAAGGGATATAATTAACTTATTTCCCCAGGTTCCTATGAAGGTTAAATGAAATAACATGTACATACTTTAATAAATACTAGTTCCCTTCTTTGGCTCCCTCCCAGCCATCCAACTATACCCTTCCAGTATTTCGACTTGGTCTCTGTTCCATGTTGTTTGAGAGTCTTTCCTCTATATCCATATTGCTGTTATTGTCTTTGTCAGATAAGAAGTCATTATGTTGAGATAAAGAATCACTTTCAGAATGATTGGCTGATGGTGTTTCTGATCTCTGATTGGCAGGAGATGATGACCTAGATGGTGATTCCAAAAACTTCTTGATGGCAGGATGATTAAAAACCATGGTATCACATGTCTTTGATCCCTGCAAAATCAAAAGCAATCAAAACAAACTTTAATTAAATTCACCAGAAGTAAGCAAAATTATCTATTTTAAGATCATGCTTAAAATCTTTCAAAATCTCTCCACACCCATAAAATGAAGTCCAAACTCCTTATTAACGTGGTCTGAACCAACAAAACAAGAAAGTGATAAATAACTATGCAACGGTCCTAACACTAATGGCTAAAGATACAAGTCCTCTGAAGGTAAATGAAAAATAAAGGTAAATACATAGTAACATATGGAAAACAAAATTTGACTTTAAAAAAATATGTTTCAGCCCTGGCTGGTAGCTCAGTTAGTTAGAGCATTGTCCCAATAAGCCAAGGTTTCCGGCTCAATCCACAGTCAGGACACATACAAGAAGCAACCAATAAAAGCATAAATAAGTGCAATAACAAATTGATGTTTCTCCCTCTCTTTCAAATGAATAAAAAAAAAAGTTTCACATTGCTTTACAAAAACACAACAGCTCTGAATAAAACATTTCTGTAAGAAATGCAAAAATAAAAAACATATGCATATGTTAAATGGTTCCCACATAGGAGGAAAATGTAGTATAGAATGCTTTAAAATGATTAATACTGACACAAAGTTTGCCCTCAGTTCAATACTGAAGCCTAGGGTATTTTTCTGTATCTTGTTACTCTCATACAAAACACAGTGTGTTCTGTTATATGTGATACACTGTAGCTACGCTCCTAGGAAGCCCAGTTTATAAAAATTGTGCTATTAAAATATTTGTTTTAGAAAAAGGAGCCAGAGACTATAGTGTTTCAGAGTCAAAGCAACAGAGTTATTAAATTTCAAGAATAAAGGTATCTTTCAGAGCTACAAATGTATTTTGTTACAACAAACTAAAAACAATAGCAGATCATAATAGACAAAAGTATACCTAAATATCATTGAATACATCCTAGTCAGAATATATTAAGATTTTTTAAAGTGCATTTCTAGACCACAAAATAGCACAACTGAAAACTGCTAACAGTAAAAGAAAGAAAAGGAACAAAATGTTAAATGAATAACCAGCTCTTCAGAATAGCTACAGTCCTACATCATGCAACCACTAGATCACGATGTCCATCTTGTTGAATCCAATGCAAGCCATATAACAAATGACAGCAGAATCTGCTCTGGGATAAATAGTGTCTCCCGAAAATTCATGTCCACCCTAAACCTGTGAATGTGCCTTGGAAATAGGATCTTTGCAGATACACTCAAGTGAAGATGAAGTCATTTGGATTAGGGTAGGCCCTAATCCAAATGACTAATGCTTTTTAAGAGGGAAACTTGAACATAAAGAGAAGATACACAGAAGGAAAATATCCATGTGAATACAGAGGCAGCAATTATAGTGATGCAGCTACAAACCAAGAACACCAAGGATTGCCAGCAACCAGCAGAAGCTAGGAGGGGGCTTCGAAGGATTCTTCCCTAGAGCCTTCAGAGACTGTCCCAGCCAACACCTTGATTTTGGACTGCTGGGCTCCAAAATCATGATAATAAATTACTATTGTTTAAAGCCAACAAAGCTTGTGGTAATTTGTTACGGTAGCTGCAGAAAAATAGTTCAGACTCTAATGTTTTATGGAAACTTCTGCAATAGAAGAAACAACTATCTACCATCTAAAATTAAACTCAAACAATACTCCAGATTTCTCTAATACAACATCAGGAGTATCACCAATACCAGGCACCCTAAAGCTCCACAGGATGACATAAATGCCTAAATATAAAAGGTACCTCTTTCCGTAACAACCATATGGAACAATGCAAAGCAGTATTCTATCATACCTCCCCCCATTCTCACAGAGCCAGTACCGTTCAAAAGATTTACCTTTCTAATGGGAAAACTTTAAAAAAAATTTTAAAAAGAAAGAACAACAAAGTACGCCGAAATTATCAAAATGTCGAACAGTCTGTTCTGTTTCCGTTCAACCCTATCCCCATTCTTTATAACTGGAGCGATCTAGTGGTAACCACAGTAACCAAATGATTACACTACTATCACTAACAGTAGGGCAACCTGATTACTACGTTTCCTGAGGTAAAACAACATGAGGTATATAGCATCACCTATGAAGTATTATTGCCAAAAAGATTTAAGATTAATCTAATCAAATCTTTAGACTTTTGAGTTTACAGAAAAATAGAGGGAATGAAGGAATAACCCAAGGGAAAAAATAAATTCAAAATGTGGGACATTCTACAAAATAAATGCTCTGTTCTCTTCAAATAAGTCAATATCCTGGGGTAAAAGTAGGTGGGGGAATGGTCTATATAAAATGAAACTAGAGAAACAAAATAGCCAAATATAGCTATGAACCTTGATGGGATCCTTGTTTAAAAAAACAAAACAAAGAAACAAAAAACAAAAAAAAAACAAAAACCAGCTTTAAAAGATATTTTGGGGAACAACTGGGAAAATCTGAATAGGGACTGGTTAACAGACATTAGCGAATCATTCTTAGGTACTGTGACTACATAGAAGAATGGCCTTTAGGAAGCATGTAATTAAATATTTAGGGGTGGCCCGGCCAGGCGTGGCTCAGCTGTTGAGTGTTGACCTAAGATCCAGGAGATGGAGGTTCAATTCCCAGTCAGGGCACATGCCTGGGTTTTGGGCTCAATCCCCAGCAGGGGGTGTGCAGGAGGCAGCCGATCAATGACAACTCTCTCATCATTAATGTTTCTATCTCTCTCCCTCTCTCTTTTTGAAGTCAATAAAGATATATTAAAAAAAAAATAAAAAAAAATTTAAAAATAAATAAATAAACATTTAGGGGTGAAGCATCACGATGCCTGGAACGTATTTTCAAATGTTTCAGAGAAAAATAAAATAGACAAAGCAAATATGGCAAAATGTTACAATTGTTCATTCTAAGTGATGCATTACCAAGTGACTATTTAACTTTTTCTGCATGTCTGAAAATTTTCATAAAAAGTAAAAGGGAGAAAAATCAGGGCTGCTTGAACAGGGAAAATCTACTGAAACAAAAAAAAATTACCATTCATTAGCAGTAAAAGGTCAAAAGGAAAATGAATCAATCTAAAACTTGCTCCAAAGCCAACCATAATCAAATGAAGAGGAATTAGGCAAGTTATTCTTGTATCTGCAAAGCCTAACAACACTGCTGAATATTAGTGGGAGAGGGCTTAAGGAAAAAGAAACAACGTTACTTAGGATTATCAACAATGTAGAGAGGTATAATTAAAGGATTATGGTTGAACACAATAAGTTTATGTACATTCCCAGGAAAGTAGGCTAGGCTTCTTCAATTCTAAAAGTCAACATAAGAAATGTTGCAAAGGCAGGAATTCCATATCAACACTAATTTCCCCTTCATACAACACACATGGGTGGCCAGAAATGACTGCATATGAGGAACAGTTACCTCAGAAACTTTTAGAAGTCCTGCAGAAGCATAGTAGTTTGCGACAATGCAGGCACGAAGCTTATCCATCATCCTTCTTGCCTCAATCAGTCGCTAAAAACAAATGTCAACTCATTACTTTAAAAAATGGAAATGACAGGACAGATATACAAATAATTCATAAAATAAGAAATGCAAATGACCAAAAAAGCTCAACCTCTCTAACAATCAAAGACAAATAAAAATGACCATTTTCCACCTATTAGGTTGGCAAAAGATCTAAAAGAATGACAAAACCCAATGTTTTTACAAGAGTACAGACAATTAATATGTGTATTCATGTGTACACATGCACTGTCATTAAAATGTCCACAAAGATTTGAACACAAGAGGGAAGAAGAATTATATTTTGGGAAGAAATTTCAGGTAATTTTTTTCCCTTATCTTTTCCTGTAATTTCATTAAAAAAAGAAAAGAAAAACAACATGTCCTTTTTCCAAAAATGAGAAAGCTCTTTAAAAAAAAACAAAAACAGCAAAGGGGAAAAACAAACCACAATTCTGTCTCAATAGATTTTTTTCCAAGTCATGATGTATACATTTTTTTCCAATAGCTTTGGTGTGTGTGTGTGTGTGTGTGTGTGTGTGTCTCCCAGGCATCTTTATTTAAGATCAAAGTGATAGGTGATGTGGGGATGAAAATCAAAAGCATCACTGAACTTCACCTTCCCTCCAACCAGTTCCCCAAGCTCCTGCCCCCACCCCGTTTGTGCTCTCAATTCTGTAGTGAAGGAAGAACTTAATCCCAAAGCCCTAGGACAAAAAAACTTTGTTTTTTTAAAATTTATCATCATTATACCTGGTCAATGACTTCAATTTCATGTTCCTTATTCTTCATTTCAAGTGCAAATTGCTCCTTGATAATAGTTTCAATCTTCTGCACAGCAGCATCTCGAGCTACACAAAGAACATAAAATAACCCATGGTCTGCTTAATTGGTGGTTGTCTTGACTTAAGTAAGCAAGCAAAATAGAAACCCAGGAAACAGTAACTCAGAAGTGGAGAAACCTAGTAGCCATCACCTTAACCAATAATGAAATTTAACATCGCTAATACTGGGGCAAACTGACCTCGCATGTTTTCTGGTATGATGTACTGAGAAGACTACATCACTCTGGTATTCCTGCCAAAGAAGCTGGATCTAATCACAGAGACATCAGACAAACCTAAACTGAAGGACTTTCTACAAAATAACTGGCCTATATAATTCAAACATTACTATGCAAATATTAAAATCAAAGAAAGTTGAGGAGATTAAAAGAGACTGAAGAGATATGACAACTAAATGCATTGTGTGATCCCGGACTGGATCCTGGAGACAGAGAGATAGTTATAAATGCAATACTGGGATAACTTGTAAAACTTGAAATATGGACCACAGATTAGATAATGTGATAAAGGTTTAAATTTCCTGCTTTTGATAATTGTACTGTGGTTACATAAGAAAATGTCCTTTTTTTTCTATACCTTTATTGATTTGAGAGAGAGGAATGGAGAGAGAGAGGGAAACATCAATGATGAGAGAGTCGTTGACCAGCTGCCTCCTGCACACCCCTCACTGGGGATCGAGCCCACAACCCAGGCATGTGCCCTGACTGGGAATCAAACCGCTATCTCCTGGATCCTAGGTCGACACTCAAGTGCTGAGCCATGCCAGGCTGGGCGAGAATGTCCTTAGAAAATACACAGAAGTGTTTACATGTGTCCAATTTATTTCCCAATGATTTAGAAAGGATGATGTCCATGTCCATCTGTGCTCCTGTGTATGCAAGCACTTGCACTTGGAGGTGAGGGAGAGTGATAAACCAAAGGAGGCAAAATGTAAACAGCTAATCAATCTTGACAAAAAACATATGGGTACTTCTTGAAATTTTCCTGTTGATATTACATCAAAATAGAATTAGCAAAAAAATTAAAAGAAACCCATGAAGAGTCTGAGAGAAATATTTGATGACTTAGGAGAAAGGAAGTAAAGAATTAGCCCGGCCAGGTGTGGCTCAGTGGTTGAGCATCAACCTAGGATCCAGGAGACTGCGGTTCGATTACCAGTCAGGGCACATGCTCAGACTGTGGGCTCAATACCCAGTAGGGGACGTGCAGGAGGCAGCCGATCAATGACTATCATTGATGTTTCTATCTCTTTCTCTCCCTCTTCCTTCCTCTCTGAAATCAATAAAGATCTATTTTTTTAAAAAAAGAAAGTAAAGAATTAGCTAGAGCAATAACATGAGAGCTGTTTAAAAGAACACAGGAAATTTCTTTCTGTAGAGAAGGATCTAGCAAGTAATTCAGCAGTTTCTGATCACAACTACCCAAAAGAATGAGTAAAGAAAGAATTCAAAAGGAAAGAAAATGCCTCTGAAGGTGACAGGATTTAGAGGATGACTACTCGAAGTAATATGCAACTCAGCGTTAAAAATATCGGAATATAAAATGTAGCTTAATACAAGAGAATTTGAAAAAAAGAAGAGCCAAATTACTACTTGAACAACCTGAGATTTTTGCAAAATAATCTGTATGTGTAAGATGGAGGAAAAAAATCAACACCCATGCTCTGGAGTATATGAAAAACTGCAGAGAAAATGTGGACCCTTTGATCACCCAGGTCACTTTTTCCCTATAAAATATGCCATTAGATTGGCAATTTAAAACTAGTAATGGTATAAACACTCTTGTATATATGTCTACATATCTACAGAGGCAAATGACTGATTTTTCTCATATTTGAGGTAAAGAATATTTTCCAGTATTACTGTATATAACCTTCTTTATACAAACCTTATATACAGAAATCAACAGATACACTTATGAGACAATGATCACTGAAGGTCATTTTATCATAAGCTTCTCAAAAAGAAACTACTCTAAATTGTCTCTTTCATGGAATAAGTAAAAACCAAAACAAACAACACAAAATAATACAGGCAAAGGAAGCATCCTACCAAATCTACTTCGAGAAAAAATTCTGAAAAATAAAAATATGATTGGGAATTAGGCAGGAGTTGGATACCAAGAGGAAGAATAGCAAATCTTACTCAATAACAAAAATTGTCCCTGCTTAGGATGTTTGGGAACTTAAGTTAGATTTAAACTGACTTACGATATTTACCAAAACATTCAGTTTTCCCTATTCTTGTTTTTATTTTATTTTTTTATACCTTTATTGATTTCAGAGAGAGGAAGGGAGGGGGAGAGAGAGAGTTGAAACATCAATGATGACAGAGTCATCATTGATCAGCTGCCTCCTGCACACCCGACTGCGGATTGAGCCCGCAACCCGGGCATCTGCCCTGACGGGGAAGCCAACCGCGATCTCCTGGATCCTAGGTCGATGTTCAACCACTGAGCCATGCCCAGCCAGGCTCTTGTTTTTATTTTAAAGAAGTTATGCCACCCGGCTGGACTGGCTCAGTTGGCTGAGTGCTATCCCATGAACCGAAAGGTCACTGGTTTGATTCCTGGTCAGGGCACATGACTGGGTTGTGGGCTCAGTCCCCAGTAGGGGGCATGCAGGAGGCAGCCGATAATTGTTTCTCTCACATCGATATTTCTCTCCCTCCCTCTTCCACTCTCTCTAAAATCAATAAAAACATATTTTTTAAAGAGTTATGCCATGTGATACATTTGAGTTTCATGATACTTTCACATTTGGCTCTTTTCTGAAAGGAAACATTTCCTTATAAATAAAATTGCAACTGAATGGGGGGGTGATTTTTAGTGAAATCTTTTCATTATTTGAAATTAGATTTGATAATTTTCAGTCCACAAAGATTTTGGGGGGGCGAGGGGGGGGCGGGTACAGTATGACTTCATTGCACTTACTGAGACAGGAATTTTCCTTACTACTTAAAGTCTAGGGGTCCTCATCTTTGTGGAGCAGCAACACCTTTTCTATGACTTTGATGCCTTCATAACTAAGTTATAAGCATTAACTTATATAGATTTAAATGAATAAATTTCAGTAATTTGTTTTAAAAACTCAAATTTAGCTCCTTTTTTTGAAATAGCTTAAAACATCAATTAAGACACTTAATTGATGATCTGCTCTTCAACCAATTACATGATTTTAAGCAAGCAATTTAACGCTCTTGAGCCTTAACTACTAGCCCCTATGTGCAGCAGTAAACTAGATCAATATCTCCCAAATTTCCACCATTCATATACCACCTTCAAGATATCTACCACATCTGAGAATCATGTGAAACATCTAATTAAAACAATAACATTTTAAAATAATTTTAGCCTTGTCCTTAGCAACAGTAATCGTGAAACTACAAGCCTCATGAGACCATCATCCTTTCTGTAGACATTAAAATAATAATTATTAATATAAAAAAAACTGACCCCATGTACCACCTATAATCATCTCACATGATACCACACTGTAGTAGATATATCATAAGACTTAATGATTATACCTAACATACAATGATAACTAAAGTTCAGGGCCTGTCTCATTACTGATGCTTTGACTGTCTACCTGACTATTCCTCTTTTATGCCACATATGGTGTATTACTATTAAACAGAACACTTAGTTAATCCCTCTCACAAACCTCTTCGAATAATACACAACAGTGGAAATGCAGTTCATTTTAACACCTATAAATCTCATAGGGAGGCATATGCCAACAAAGAAATACATAATTTCCGAAGGTAGGTGAATTTCTACCTGAATTCTCAATTGCTTTATGCCGCTTATTTGGAAGGGCCACAGATACATCCTCGTAATCAGGGTCAGTTTCTTTGATTGTTCGCTTGATTCCAGACATGATGACATCTGTTCTTCACTGTGAAACAATAATTAATTAATAACACAGCTTGATACTAGTTCTTATATACGTGTACACACATTCAAAGGGAATAGATACTGACACTTAAAAGTCTGTAAATACACACACATCTCTTTTAAAGCCAAAAGCACAGCTAACTTCAAAAGTTTACTAAAAAAATAAAATTAAAAAATCATCATCCTTATCATCATCTGTTACAAAGCATGGGGTTCCTTTCAAGAGAAAATCCTTTTACAAGGCAGCACATTGTTCAGGCTTTTCAAAAGGGCCAGGCTTTCACAGAAAGGCCATGATAAGGAAAAGGAAAGAAACCAGACTTTAATGAAAACATGGGAAGCCCACAAAGAATCTTGGAATTCACAATGCACCAAGCATATTACAAAATATGAGCAATACAGTTAAAGTCTTGATAAATAATTTATTATACAAATAATCTCGGGTTCTTACATAGTATCTGCTACAGAACAGACACTCAATAAATACTGTTACTAATTATTTATTATTACTCATAATAAAACAGTATAGACATATTAAAATCCAATAAATCTTCTAGATCTGCACTGTCCTGATACATTAGCCACAACCTATATGTGGTTATTTAAAGTTAACTACAATTAAAACTTAAAATTCAGTTTTGTTCTGCATTTCAATATTTCACATTTCAGAACCAGACACATTTCAAGTACTCAATAGTCATCAGTGGCTACTAGCTACTATATTGGACAGCATAGACATGGAACATTTATATAATTACAAAAAGTTCTACTGGACGCTGCTTCTCTTCCAAACTGTTTCATTGAGCACTTACTAACATTTCATAAGTCAATGTAGGCTATTGCTGCCCAGACCAGCACTGTCCAAAAGAAATATGAGCCACAAACAAATATAATATCTTCTAGCAGCCACATTTATTTATTTTAAAGACAGAGACACTGATTTGTTGTTCTACTTATTTATGCATTCCTTGGTTGATTCTTGTATGCGCCCTGACTGGGGCTCCAACCCACAACCTTGATGAATCAGGACGATGCTCTAACCAACTGAGCTACTTGGCCAGGGCCTAGCAGCCACATTTAAAAGAGGAAAAAGAAATGGGTGAAATTAATTTTAATAATATATTTTATTCAACCAATAGACCCAAAATATTATCATTTCAGCAATGTAATCAATATAAACAAATTAGCAATGAAATATTTTACATTCTTATCTTTGTATTAAGTCTTTAAAATCCAGTGTGTATTTTAGACTTAGAGCACATCTCAATTTGGACTAGCCGCATTTCAAAGGCTCAATAACCATCCGTGGCTAGTGACTCCCTTATTGGGCAACAAGCATCCATGCAGGGTAGTTACATGAGTTGCCCCTTAGAGCATTAATCTATGACATAGAAAGACAAAAAGAGTTCTCTGATTTCCAAACCTCTGCTCTATCACTAACAGAGATTATGTACCTAACCAAAGGCAAAATAACAATGTATATTTATTGAGGTAATACAAAATTTTTAAATAAAATTAATGAAAATGAAATGTTAACTCAAAAATATATATATATTTTTCAAAGTTGAAACAGAAATAACATTTTAAAAGCCTCTTGGCTCTTGACTGGCTGGGTGGCTCAGCTGGTTGGAGAGTCATCCTGTACACCAAAAAGGTTGAGGGTTCCATTACTGGGCAGGGCACATACCTAGGTTTTTAGTTCAATCCTGTCAGGACACATATAGGAGGCAACTGATCGATGTTTCTCTCTTTCAAATCAATAAACATATTCTCACGTGAGGATTAAAAAAAATTATATTCTAAAAAAAAAGGTATCTCAGTTCACACTCCAGTCCTTTCACCCATTCCAGAGCCAGACTCACTTGATGCAGGTGGGAGAAAGACTCATGTAATGGTATATGTAAATCCTGGATTTAAGAGAACATTTTTCCTATCACTGTTATCTTGTGTAATACCCCTAAGCTTTAAAATGCTCTAAAAAACTTCAGCATTAATAAACATACTTAATCAAGCCATTTAATGTTTATTCACCATCATTACCTAACCTGCTGTAATTCAGAATATAAATGTCTTTATTTTTGTAGAGACCCTGAATCCAACTATTATCTTCTGTTTTTAAAGCTTATAACAAATCAGGGTAAAGTCTTGTTCTTTTCTTTTAGCCTTTCTCCATCTGGTCTGCAACTAGTTTTAGACAACCAGAAAAAAATTGGGGGGCAGTTATTAGAATCATTCTTAAAAAAAAAAAAAAAATCAACTAAGCCTCATTCCTTTTTCCTTAATGCAGATAAGAAAAAACATTTTTATTCTCAGATAAACCTAAATTCAGAGGTAGAAACAACACAGATCTCCAAATCTGTTTCTGACCCACACCATTTCATCAGTGACCACCTGTCTTCCAGTTAGCCAAGAGTCTTCTGGGATTACCTGTGAGGATGAGTGAGTCCGGCATCATCTTTACTCATCCACCCCATGGACTCATAACCTGAATATTCTCTTCCCACCTCCCCCCCTCAAGTAATCTCAAGATTACCGTAGCTCTTCCCCAGAAAGGTTGGGGATCCTTGAAGAAAATAGTATTTTATTTTACTCCCACTTAAGGAATGAAGCAAAAACTCTCTTTTAACTTTTGCTCTAAAACTGGGGGGATAGAATAGGAAAAAGGGAAGAATCTGGTGGTGGAGGGGGCTGCGTGGGTAAGGAAGAACCCAGCAATGAGTTACCTTGTTCTGCGCCAAGCTAACTCCTATTTCATGCTTTTCCTGTCATCTTTGGCCATAGATTTGAGCTCCCAAATAAACATGTTTAGGAAGACTTAGGTCTGTACTGAGCATGTTTAAATAATTCAGGTCTGCTTCAGTCTAGCAAGAATACTAAATAAAGTATACACAAGCCGCATTCAAGTATATGCTAGCTAAGCTAAGGCGAGGCACATCTGCCAGAGCATGCTAGCATCCTGATGTAATAAATAACTGAATGGAATGTGTAACAAATGACCCATGGTAATATTAAGTTTTGGATTCTTCTTGACTGGCTTCAAGATTTATGAAAGGGAAATGTAAACAGTTGTTATTGTCAGATTCAACTCTGAAACAAAATGTCCTACTGATCCTCTTTAGGTTTTGATTCAGATGAAATAAAAAATACTGAGATGATATGTGAACATTTAAAAAAATTCTGTTACTGTTTATTATAATTTGTCTGTGAGAAAGGATTTTCTCAATACCATGGGACCAAATCCAAATACAGAAATATATGTAATGCTGATTCCTGTAACTTAACATTTTTATCTCATTGGAACAGCTTCATTACAAACAGTAAATGTTGTCTACTTAACCTTAAAAAATACACATTTTCCCCATGTATAATGTAAGAAAGCAAAACAACCCTGTATAACACCCATTCAAACAACATAAACTAATCTGAGTTTTTGAAAAAGGTTGAAGACCAAAAACAAAACCTTTTATTAGTCTATATTTTGAAATAAAACCCAAGAGAAAAATATTTTCTAAAGAATTATATAATTAAAAAAACAAAATTATGTAATACATAGTCACTAGAAACTCTTAGTAAAAGGTTTTCGTTTTCATGTCAGAGAAAACCTAGAAGCCCTATAGAACCTAGTCCTAGAACCCCTCTTACAGATGTGGCCAATTCTTGGGGGAAGGCGGTCCTTGAAAAATGTGCTATGTACTATGTGAGGTATCTTCTCTTTTTTTTAAGTTTCTTTATCTTTATTGTTGAGATATTACAGATGTCCCCTTTTTATCCCCATTGATCCCCTCCACCCCACATCCACCCCACCCCCAGGCTTTCCCCATACCAATGTCTGTGTCCATGGGTTATGCTTATAAACATATAAGTTCTTTGATTAATCTCTCCCCACCCACACCCCCATCCCCACCTTCCCTCTAAGATCCCTCAGTTTGTTCCATGCTTCTATGTCTCCGGATCCATTTTGTTCATCTGTTTATTTTGTTTATTATATTCCACGTATAAGTGAGGTCATGTGGCATTTGTCTTCCTCTGATTGGCTTATTTCACTTAGCATAATACTTTCTAGTTCCCCCCATGCTGTGCCAAAGGCTAAAAGATCTCTCCTCTTTACAGCTGCATAGTATTCCATGGTGTGAATGTGCTACAGCTTTTTTATCCACTCATCTACTGATGGGCACTTGGGCTGTTTCCAGATCTTAGCTATTGTAAATTGCACTGCTATGAACAAAGGGGTGCATAAGTTCTTTGTGACTGGTGTTTCGGGTGAGGTTATCTTCTCAATATAAAACTCTCTGATCCTCATGGCATTTGAATCTCATTAGAATCACTGAATTTTGTGCTCTCATTCCAGACAATTTTTCCCATCTGATTTAAAAGAGAGAATGGGGAGGAGCAGCACAATTGTTTTCCATCTGCTTCCATACAGACAAATGTTTCTAAGATGTTAATGATTTTAGAATTCTTTGGCCCTGTTTCTGTAGTCTTCATTACCAACAAAATATTTTCCCCTTTGTTAACATGACAACCAGTGTTCCTTTATCAAATATTTGAATCAGAGACTCTACAATCCATTCTCCTCTATTAGCCAAAGACATTTCAAAAATATCTACAAAAAACAAAACAGGACAATGGGTAAACAAACCGTGGTGTACCCAATGAACTCCCCATCCAAGCAACAACAGCAATGAATCTCAAAATCATTATGGTAAGCAAAAGAAGCCAGACACAAAAGAGTACATAAAATGATTCCACTTATATAAAGTTCTAAAACAGACACATTTGTCTACGGTGAATGAAAATAGTAGTGGGGTGCTGGTGATGGGGACTGACTGAGAGGAGGAATAAGGATCTTTCTGGGGTGACAGAAATATTTTATATCTTAAAAGAGTGTGTTACATGGGTTATATGCAATTGTGAAAACTCATCTAACTATACACTTAAAATCTGTGTATTTCACTGTATGTGTATTTCACTATACCTCAATTTAGAAAAGAACTACAAAAATATTTATCTGATCATGTCATCTCCTGCCTGGAATCTTCAATGGCCTCCCATACACTTAGAATAAAATCACTCTTCAACATGACATACAAAATCTTAATATGAACCGGGCCCTGCCTCCCTCTCCATTCTTGATCATTAACATCCAGACACATTGGTTTTCTTTCTGCTCCTCAAATACACCTCAATCTTTACTTTTTTGGACTTAAGTTTCCTTCTCTCTGGAATGCTCTTCCCCTAGGTTAGCTTTATCAGATCCCAACTCAAATGTCCACCTTATCAGAGGAAACCTTCCTTGATTATACCATCCAATGTAGCTCTCCCCATCTTCCCCCTACAAAGTTCCCATAAGCTCTCAATAAACTATTGACTGAATAAATGAATGGATAACTAAAATACCTGCCAAAATATAAATACCCACAAGGAATATAACTACTAGCTTACACTAGTATCATGCTTTCCACATTACTGTACTTATAAATTTATTTGTTCATATTGCTATACCTCCAAAAGCATTATGGCTAAATGTTTAAAATAAAGAAATTTGTAGTTGTACAGACACATGCAAACAAAAAGATAGCAGGCATGGCAAGATTAATAACAGACAATAATTTAAGGGAAAAAAAAACAACACTTAATAAAGACTGCTACTATAAAAAGACACAATCACAAAGATATGTCATAACCTACTCACCAAACATACTGTCAAAATAAACAAAATGCAAAACAAACCACAAATATAAGAATTTAACAAAATCACAATCATAATAGAATATGAACACAAATCTCTCAGAAATTTAAAAGATCAAACAGATAAAAAATACAGATTTGATTAACAAGCCAGATTTAACAGATGCACACAACTCTGAACCCAGCAGAGAATAATCCATTTGAAATATCTATAAAACTTCATTAAAATTAAATCACATAATAGGATATAAAGAAAGTCTCAATAATTACAAAATGTGAAAATGTTTTAGTCATATTCTCTGGTCCTAATAAAATTATTAACAAAAACTCACTAGGATATGGAAAATACAATATTCTAAGTAACTCATGGCTCAAAAAAGAAATTAAAATAAGACTATTGCCCAGCCAGGCATGGCTCAGCAGTTGAGCATCAACCTAGGATCCAGGAGATTGCGGTTCGATTCCTGGTCAGGGCACATGCCCAGGTTGCGGGCTCGATCCCCAGTTGGGGATGTGCAGGAGGCAGCTAATCAATGACTCTCTCATCACTGGTGTTTCTCTCTCTCTCTCGCCCCCTCTCCCTTTCTTTCTCTGAAATCAATAAAGATATATATGTAAAAAAAAAAAACAACTAACAAACATTAAATCTTACACTTTACAAGAGTGAATTCTATGGCATGTGAACTAGATTTCAACAAAGCTGTTGTAAAAAATTACAATGATAAACCCAAAAAACATTAACCTTAAACAGAAATCTATTTATAGATTATCCTACCCCAGGTATGTGTGTGCATACTATGTGTGCACTGGTAGGGCTATCAGCTAGGAAATCAACATTCATTAGGAAGACCAGTTGGGGGGTGGGGCAGTACAGATTTTTAATACTTTTAAATTTATTTTTTTCACCCTGGCCAGTGTTGCTCAGTGGTTAGAGCGTTAGCCCAAGGACCCAAGGGTCACAGGTTCGATACCATGTCAAGAGCACATACCTGGGTTGCAGGTTCAATCCCTGGCCCCGGTCGGGGTACATTCAGAAGGCAACCAATCGATGTGTCTCTCACATCATGTTTTTCTCTCCCTCCCCCTCCCTCCTTCCCTTCCACTCTCTCTAAAAATCAATGGAAAGACTATCCTCAGGTAAGGATTAACAACAACAAAAAATTTAATTTTTTCATGAGGTATTTCAGATATTCAAAAAAATATAAAATGATCAGTGAGGAGTATAAAGGAAGTTCTAAAGTATTAGTAATTTCTTATTTTGTAAGCTGGGCAGTAGCAAGGTAGGCATTTGTTGCTTTACCACTATTTTTTAAAACATGCTTCCTTATTTATGTGCTCTTTAGTACATATGATGTATATCACCATTTTAAAAAACAAAACTTCAAAAATTTAAAAATAAATTATGTACATTCATACTATGGAATAAATCAGTTCTGCTCTAATGTGACATACACATTTCTAGAAAGTATCACGCTGTGTAAAAACTGTATCATGAAAATCACAAGCTTTATGGGAAAAATGGGGTTTAGAAGTACAATACTCAACAATTTTACCAGTGACATAAAAAGGAGTATCTAATTATAATGGTAGCAGTTTTACACATGCTAGATGGTTAAGGAATACATAAATGCTATAAACACTTTACCTTGAAAAAGACCTCAGGTTTGCTGTGATAGTTAGTGGGCACTGAAAGTCTGCAGCTTGTGAGTTACTGTCCAGTGGTAGAAGGGTAATATGAAATCAAGAGAAAGCTGTAACACCAGATGTGGATGGGTGTGGCTCATAGCACAGCAGTAAACAGGTCGCTGGAAGGTGTTTGAGGTGTGTGCCTGTGTGAGGCTTGTGTATTCCTTCCATGGCTCAGTTCGGCAGGGTAGTTTCCTTCGTTCACCGAGCATTTCTTGCAGACAAAATCACACATAAGAAATGTGAACTTCACATTATATTTAAACAATTCCCTATTATATCAACTGCACTGAACAAACTTGTGTTTTCTTATAGCAAAACCGACTGCACTACTGTAAGATTGTAATGCAACCATTTAAAAATGTGCTGCTATAAAAATACTTGTAAAATAACTTGCAAAGTGAAAAAAATCAAGGTGCAGAGCAGTGTATATATTTTGATTCCTTCGGCTGTAAACTGGAAGAGAAAAGGTATATGTTTGTGTAAGTTTTTCTAGAAGATCAAAAGCAGTTAACAAGAATTGCCTCTGGGTAGTGGTTTTGCTTTTCATTTTATTCCTGACTACGATGTTTGAATTTTCTAATCATGTACATGAGTTATTTGGGGGAAGGAAAACACCAAAAGGAACAATCTGAGAGATGGATTATAGGTATTCTTTATGTCTCTTTCTGTTTTCTTCTTACTTCTCTATATGTTAAAAAGAACATAATTGGAGTGTGGAATAACTGGAATTCTCACTGATGGGAATGTAAAAAGAGACAATCACTTTGGAAAACAGTTTGGCAATTTCTTAAACAGTTAAATATACCCTACAATATGACTCAGCCATTCCACCCCTACGTATTTACCGAAGAGAATAAAAGTGTATGTCCACACAAAAACTTGTACACAAATGTTCAGAGCAACTTTATTCGTGATAGTCAGAAACTGGAAACAACCTAAATGTTCATCAGCAAATGAATGGATACGCAAATTGTGATATATCCACACAACAGACTATTATTCATCAATAAAAAGGATTGAATTGATATATGCAAGGTGAATTCATCTAAAAATGACGTTGAGTGAAAGAAGTCAGCTTAAGAAAATAGTATATACTACAATGATTTCATTTATATAAAATGCAAACTAGTCTTCTACAGTGCCAGGAAGTTGATCAGTGGTTGCCAGGGGAAGAAACAATGACAGGGAGGCACGAGACAGGGATTACCAAGGGGCATAAGAAAAATTTTGGGGATGATGCATGTTTACTATTTTGATTGTAGGGATGGTTTCACAGGTGTACAAGTATGTCAAAATTTAGCAAATTTTACACTTTATATATGTATAGTTTGTGATATGCCAATTGTACCTCAATAAAGCTCTTTAAATACACACGACACTATTAAATATAATATAGTCTGCCAAAAATGTATAAAGAATACATAATGGGAACCCTCACACTTTATTGGTAGAAATGTAAAATGGTGCAGCCACTGTGGAAAACTTTTGGCAGTTCCTCAAAAAATTAAACACAGAATTACTGTATAACCCAGCAATTCCACTCCTGGGTATATATCCAAAAACTTGCATGTGAATGTTTATAACAGTATTATTCATACTAGTAAAAAAGTGAAAACAATCCAAATGTCTACCAATTGATGAGTGGGTAAACAAAAAGTGGTAACTTCATACAATGGAATATTATTAAGCAATAAAAAAGAATGAAGTACTGATACATGGGTGAACTTTGAGTATATCATGCTAAGTTAAAGAAGCCAGATACAAAAGGTCACATGTTATATAACCCTATTTATAGGAAATGTTCACAAAGAGGTAAAAATCTACAGACACAAAAAGTGGTTGCCAGGAAGTGAGGAGAGGGGGAAACTAGAACTGACTGCTAATAGATATGGAATTTCTTTCTAGGGTGATGGAAAAGTTAAGGAATTAGATAGCCATGGTTACACAACCTTGTGAATATACTTTATACACTTTAAAATGGTGAATTTTGCCCGGCTAGACGTGGCTCAGCAGTTGGGCATCGACCTAGGATCCAGGAGATAGTGGTTCGATTCCCGGTCAGGGCACATACCCGGGTTTGTGGGCTCCATCCCCAGTCCGGTGCCTGCAGGGGGCAGCCAGTCATGACTCTCTCATCATTGATGTTTCTATCTCCCTCCCTCCCTCTCTGTGAAATCAATAAAGATATATTTTTAAAAAACACATCTTTAAAAAAAATGGTGAATTTTACATTATATGAATTATCTCTCAATAAAAGTATACAATCTCAAATAAAATTTTTACAAAGCAAAATAGACATAAATCACCAATGTATCTAAAACCCTGGCTCACTCCTCAGATAAGCAGGGTAAACAATCCTTACCTAGAACAAGTTCTACCTCTCCTTGTCTGCAGTCATCAAAGTTCACATGCCTGAACATCTCCCAACTACCTTCTAGTGGGTAATATTTCACCTCTGCCTTCTCTCCACTTACTAAAATGCTATTCCATCCTTCAGGAATCAAATTAAGTTCTGACTCATCCATGAAGTGCACTCCAGCCTTTGAAAACTTTTTTTTTCTAACACCCACAGAACAGATGATAAACAATCTGCTTCATTAAGTCTTGTTTTCTATGAGGGAGAAGTGTACCCGACCCTCACTCTTCATTCGGTAGCAGTGTAGAAAACAGAATGAAAGGGCACCAGGATTAAAGGCAAGGAGGTGGAGGGCAATTTAAGGAGGTGACAATGAAGATTCAAATAAAAATCTATGGTCAAATGAGAAGAGAGGAGGATCAGGTATTTCTGAGGCTCTCTCCTAAGGAAATACTCTCAAGGCAGGGTGATGTACACCATATGTGAGCTGCACTTACAGATCTACAACTTAAATGTTAGTTGTCTTATTCCTATATATTTTATAATAAAAAACTGGAAATAGTCCATAGCAAATTATAGTGCATCCACTAAATGAATATGAAAGCATTTTATTATGATCCCTTGTGTAGAAAACCCTAAAAATTTTACATACAAAAAACTGTTAGAATAAATGAATTCAGCAAAGTAGGAGGATACAAAGTCAACACACAAAAATTCAGTTGCATTTCGCCCTGGTTAGAGCGTTGTCCTGACATGCCAAGGTTGCGGGTTCAATCCCTGGTCAGGGCACATACAAGAAGTGGAACAACAAAGTAGTGTTTCTGTCTCTCCGTTTCTGTCTCTCTGCTCACACAATCAATTAAGCCCTGGCCAGTGTGGATTAATTGGATGAGTGTGTCATCCAGTGCACCAAAAGGTTGGTAATTTGGTTCAATATCCAGTCAGGGCACATACCCAAGTTGTGGGTTCGATAGCCGGTTGGGTGCATATGGGAGGCAACGGATCACTTTTCTCTCTCTCCCTCTCTCTAAAATCAATAAAAGCATATAAAAAATAAACTAATTAAGAAATCAAATATGGCCCAGCCGGGTGTGGCTCAGCGATTGAGCATCGACCTAGGATCCGGGCAATTGGGGTTCGATTCCTGGTCGGGGCACATGCCTGGGTTGTGGGCTCAATCAATGGCTCTCTCATCATTGATGTTTCTCTCTCTCTCTCTCTCTCCTTTCCTCTCTCTGACATCAATAAAGATTTTTTTTTAAAAGAAATCAAATATATATTTTAAAAAAGAATGAAATCAGACAGACTCTTATCTAATACATAAAGAAAATTAATTTAAAATAGGTATAAGACCTTAATGTAAGACCTAAAACAATAAAACGCTCAGAAGAAAACATAAGACAAAAAAGTGTCATGACATTGGATTTGGCAATGCTTTTCTTGGATATGGCAACAATGGCACAGGTAACAAAAGAAAAACTGACAAACTGAACTTCATGAAAATTTAAAAATTTTGTGCATCAAAAGATACTATCAACTGCCCGGCCGGCTTGGCTCAGCGGCTGAGCATCGACCTATGATCCAGGAGATCTAGGTTCGATTCTCGGTCAGGGCACATGCCCAGGTTGTGGGCTTGACCTCGAGCAGGAGGTGTGCAGGAGGCAACCAATCAATAACTCTCTCATCATTGATGTTTCTATCTCTCTCTCTCCCTTCCTCTCTCTGAAATCAATAAAGACATATTTTTTTAATGTTTTAAAAAAATACTATCAACAGAGTAAAACAGTAACACACAGAATGAGAGAAAATACTTGCAATTCATATATCTAATAAGAGATTAATATCTAGAATATAGAGAGAACTCCTAGGACTCAATAACATACAACCGGATTAAAAAATGGATGAAGGATTTGAATAGATTTCTCCAAAAAAGATATGTAAATGACCAATAAGCATAAGAAAAGTTGCTCAACATAACATTAGTAAAGTTCAAATCAAAAGCACAATGAGCCCTGGCTTGTGTGGCTCAGTGGTTATAGCATCAGCCCGTGCACCAGAGGGTCCTGGGTTCAATTCCTGGATGTACCTGGGTTGCAGGTCGGATCCCTGCCCCGGCTGGGGCTCAAGCGAGAGGCAGCCAATCCATGTATCTCTCACATCAATGTTTCTTTCTCTCTCTCGTCCCTTCCACTCTCTCTAAAAACAAAAAATCAATGGGGGAAAAAAAAGCCTCAGATGAGGATTAAAAAGAACAAACAAAAAAACCCCCACAGTGATGTATCATCTCATACCCATTAGGATGGCTACTATCAAACAGGAAACAAGTCCTGGTGAAGAGGTGGAGAAATTCAAACTCTTGTGCGGTTGGTTGGAATGTAAAATGGTGCCGCTGTTATAGAAAACAGTGTAGCAATTCATCAAAAAATTAAAAATAAAACTACCATATAATCCAGCAATCCCACTTATGGGTCTATATTCAAAAGAACTGAAAGCAGGAACTTGAACAGATATTTACAGATATCTGTACACTCACATTCTTAGCAGCATTATTCTCAGCAGCCAAAACATGAAGCAGCCCAAGTGTTCACTGATACTTGGATGAACAAAATATAGACATACACTGGATTATTCAGCCTTAAAAAAGGAAATTATGACATGCTATAACATGGGTGAACCTAGAGGATATCATACTACGTGAAATAAGCCAGTCACAAAAAGACAAATATTGTATGATTCCACTATGTCAGCTACATATTTTTACTATCTAAAGAACTCAACAATAAATTAGAAAATGTAAAAGAAGCAGCACAACAGAGGACAGGAACAGAAATTCACAAATGATCAATAAATGTGAAAAAAATCTTCAACTATATTAGTAATCAAAGAATGGAAATAAACAAGACATAAGTTTTTCATCTATTAAATTCTGTTTTGGGGTAGATGGACATAAGGTGTCTTGAAGGGGCACTTTTTTCTAATTCACACCCACTGTCTTCACTTCCTCACATCCCATTCAATCATTCCAATCTACCTTTCACTTCTAGAACTCTGGATAGTACTACCAGTGACCAAAACCAATAACCTCCACGATGCCAAATCCAACTGAGCATCTTACCAAACATCTTAGAAATGCTGATAAAAGAACCAATTCTCCATCTTCCAGAAACTTATCTCTTTTGGTTCCCATGATACCAGTCTCCTTTTTCTCTTACCTCATTGTCTGTTTCTTCCTGTACTGTGCTCAGTCGTCTTCCTCTACCAGACCTTGAAGTACTAAAGTGTCCAAGCATGGATTTTCACTTCTTCTCTATACTCTTTCTCCCTATGTGATCTAGTCCCAAAACTTTGATATCATCTATATAACTGAGTACTCCCAAATTTTTATCTCCAGCTCTACGCTCTCTCTTATGTGAGTTCCAAACCTGTACATCCAACTGCCTCCTCAACACACTGACTTTATAACTAGTATGCATCTCAAATTTAATACATCCAAAACAAAACTTATTATTTTCCCCACCTCAAATTTCTCTTCCATTTTTCTCTTTCTCAGTTAATGGCACCATCTATTTATAGTTGCTCAAAACAAATATTGAAAAAGCAAAGACTTCTCCCTTTCCCTAATCAATCCATTTCCAAGTCTTGTTCATTCTTCCTTCAAAATACTTTTTTAATCTCTCCACCCTTCTCTATCTCCACTGTCATGGACCTAGTTCAAGGTACTGCAAACAGCATCCTAACTGGTCTCTACATAGCAGTCAGATTATGATCCTTACCAACTTAAAACCTTCAAAGGCTTCCCATAAAAACGGAATTCCTAATCAGAGCATCATCTGCTCCTATTTTTGAAAAAATACACACAGCCTAAAACATACACTCGATGATCATCTCTGTAGACAGGGAAACTATGGGTGTTTTTTCTCGTTTTGCTTGTATTTTTAAAATTTTCTGTGATGAGTACTTGGTACTTGCTTATTAAGAAACAGGAAATGATATTGCTGAGTACTACTCATTACAACGCATTTTACATGCTAACCAGAAAAGAGAATGGAAAATTGTAAGTAATCTTTAATTGTTATAAGCTTAGATGAAAAATACTAGCAAACGTATATCAAACTCTAAGGATTACTGGTGATACTTTCTTCCTCTACTTTCTATTTTTTAACATAATTACATTCATAACAGGAAAAAAATGTTATGCTCTAAACTTCATTGTCCTCTGCAATCTGGCCACAACCCACCAAATCAGCCTTTCTTCCAAGTACTCACTTTCCCCAGCTCTGCACTCCAAGCGCGCACGGTCTCACGCCTCCGCCGCCGCAACTCCTCGGGCCCCATCCCCGGAACACCCGCCAACCTTTCAGACCTGCTCATCCCTCACGGAGGGGACCGGTAGGACGGCGACAGGTTGGAGGGACATTCCGGGATTCTTGTTGGTAAATCCACAACTTCCTAGTGCTGGGGCCAAATCTCGCCTCCGATCCCCTCACAGGCCACCAAGCTTAACATCCTGAGAGCTCCGACTACTGAGGCTCAAGGGACCCCCGTCCCCTCAGCGAGCGCTGTGCCCCTTAGAAAAGGACCCCCCCAAACCCAAATTCCGGTTCCCGCTTCGGAGGCTCCCCGGACACCCACAGACACCCAGGATCCAGCCTCCACCT